GAACATTAAGATATGCAAACTTTATGCATAAAGGATAGAATATGCCAAAAGAAATATTCAAAAGAATATTAAGAAATAACATCAATGGATGGTGATGGCTATCTCCAATATCATAGAAAGAATGATGGAAGAACTTTCAATGTTAGCAGTCATGTTATAGGCAATCAAGTTATTATTTTTTATAATTCTATTTTTAATAAAAAAATATATTTTTCATATTAATATTAAGATTTGTACTTCAATTTGTATTGTGAAATATATTCATAAGTATATTTATAAAGAACATGATTGTACAATAATAAAAATTTGAAATAAATGAGATGAAGTCAAGCAATATATTAATACATAGTATATATGAGCTCCAAATGTAGCATGGCATTTGTTTGGAATAAAAATGTGTGAAAAAATTTCAAATATAGTTTGATTTATATTGCATCTTTGTACAATGTATCAAGTACTTATTCTATCTAAATGATGATGTAATAGAAGTCTTTATTTGTGGAGAGTGACAAAAAATAATTTTGACAATATTTTTTGAAATATGTAATCTATAGAAATTCCTGGTAATACAAGTATCAAAAGTTTTTACAAAATTTTATATCAAACAAGATCTCAAAGAAGTAGATAATAAGACAATGTAGATTTACAATTGAAAGGTTATAATTTGTTGATTCTATCGTGCAAGAATTTTTTTTTCTTTTGCTTCTTATAACAATGGCACATGGATCATGCTCATTTGAAGATTTATGTATTATAAAGAAAGTGCTCCAACCAAAATTTAAAGAATGCATGCTTAGAAATGGGATTATTCAAGGATACTAAATATAAGAATTAATGCTTAAAAAAAATCTCCTATAATCAAAACAAGAAAGCAATTAAAGAAATTATTTACTATTATTATTTTTTTAAATATTTACTTGTACATTTAAAAGAGCTATAAGATAAGATTAAAGATTTATTTTTTTAATGATATAGATTATTGATTGATTAAAAATTATGAAATTGAAAGGCCAATAGAAAGAGTGATATTAGATTATGGACTATTTTTTCTTGATGATATTCTTTAAGAATCAAGCAAAATACTTATTGATTTTATATTGATGTAGTTGTGGAAAAAGAATTGAAATGAAAATGCTACAAATTAAATTTTTATGGAGCATATGACATGGGAACATAATAAAGTCAAATAAATAGTAGAAGAATGTATGCCAAAGTTGAATGATAGACAACTCAACATATATTTGGATATTCTTGCTTAAGTAGATAATAATCTTAGAAAGTTGTATTTTTTGGAAGAACCAACAAGAAGTGAAAAAGAACATTTATCTACAATACAATAACAATAAAGTTTCAAATTTATGGAAATTATTTTTTGTATATTGCTTCCTCTGAAATTGCAGCATAATTTTTAAGTAGTAGACAAATTGCACACTCTATGTTTAAAATTTTGCTCCATCTTGATGAAAACTTATTTTACAATATTCCAAAGAATATACCATATATACGTGCTATAAAAGATATTTCTTAACATTTGAGATGAGATACCAATGAAACATCTCCATTTTATTGAAGTAGTCAAGAAAGATTCTAATATATAAATGGTACTAACAAGTTATTTGGGAGAATTATTGTAGTCTTTAGTAGAGATTTTTGACAAATTCTTCATATTAATATTAAAGGCTCAAGAAAAGAGATTATTCATGCTTCTTTACAACAATCAAAGATTTGGTCTAACATTAAAGTGTATAAATTGACCAAAAATATGCCTTTGAAAGGTGTATTGAATGAAAATTAATTATCTATTGAAGAGCTCTTGAAGATATGTATTATATAAGATTATTAGTTTTAAAGAGTTTTTTTTGAAATAAAATATTTTTTTATAGTATATCTAAAAATGATTTCTATTAAAAAAACTGAAAATGAATCAATAATTGTAAATCTATTGAAAAATATAATGATTCTTCTAAAACATACAAAAGTAGGTCCAACATCAAATGATTTGATTTAATTTGTCTATTTAGGATTAGATGAATATTTCTCCAATAGGTCTATTTTATCTGCACAAAACTATGATGTTGATGATCTAAACAAGCAAGCAATGAAGACATTTCTTAGAATTTCATGTGTTTATTTCAAGGAAAATATAACAATCATAGAAGATAGTGCCAATAATGGTAATTATTATCCAATTAAGTATTTGAATAGCTTAAGTTCATCTAGATTGCTATAATTTAACTTGGAGCTAAATGTTGGATTTCCTATTATATTATTGCAAAACATTGCTTTGTGTGAAGGATTTTGTAATAGATCACATCTAATCATTATAGAGCTCATTGATTAAGTTACAGAAGTAAGACTTTTATGTAGAGACTACAAGGAACAATTGACTATTCTTCCAAGGATCATATGATACCTATCATATGCAAAGATTCTGTTCAAATTGGAGCTAAGGCAATTTCTAATAAAGGTAGAATCTGTAATGATCATTAATAGATCTCAAAGATAGTTGTTGAAAAATATAGGAATAGATCTTAGAACCTCAATATTTGTACATGGATAGTTATATGTTGTCATTTCATAATGAACTTCAAATATGTTCAAGTTTCTATATTCTAAAAATAACACAGATAAAAATATGACTATAAATATAGTTTATCTGGAAGATCTTTTCACATAGCTATTTTAATTTTTGTAATAAAAAAATTATGCTTGCCAATTACAATAAAGAAATATAAATGGTTCCATTCTTATGTGTATATATATGTATATGTATATATTCTTTTTCCTTGGTCAATACTTCTTTAGGAGTGGTCAATTTTGACTTAGCAACCACAAATTAAACTTACACACCTTTTTCATGGCCAATGACACATGTTTCCACTAGTAAGAAGATGCCATGAAATTAACTACATCATTGTTTTATCACAAGTCTAAATATATCAACATAAATATTGACTCAAATTATAATGATAAGAATATTATTTATATATATATATATATATAAACATTTTTTGACATAGATTCTTAAAATTTTGTAAAAGCCCTTTAAAAAAATAGATTCAGTAGAAATTCCAGAAAATAAATCTCTACAATAGTTTTTCTAAATATAAAGTCAACTTTGTGAGACTTCTCAATCTCAATTAACAAGGATTTAAAAGTTGAGACTTCTCATCCAATCTTCTAAGTATAAAACCCCCCAAAATTGTGTTTTCTAAAACCAGTATATTATGCATCAAAGTTCCACATAGTAAATAATACACCTAATAGTTGTGTATGCTTTGTTTAAATCGTACAATTTTACATAAATTCTTTAATTTTATTATTATTATTCTTATTTTTGTTCGTAATAATTTTGGTTCAATTTCAATAATGTATACATCAATATAAAAAAACAGAAACCAGATTAAGATAAAATTTAACAATCCCACTGGCGTAAGCACCAGAAATTATTACATACAAATAAGCATACCATACCATACCCGACAAGGCAATCGAGACTCTGAAATGCTTGAAATTTAGCAAGTTCTTCAAACAACGGCGAACGCTCATAACGAAATGCATGAAAATTCTGAAACAAACGAAGCCGCGGAGATGAAACGAGGCCGCGACTGTGCAAATTTGATAGCAGAAGGGAAATTGGAGAAGTTCACAAAATTAGGAGCCATGGATTTCCCAACCGATGAACTGCCACGTCCCAAGGCAACGCAACCACTCTTTAAGTTCAATGCTTTCGAGAAAACCTGATCTTCCATCGAGGACTCTCACGATGGCGAGTTACAAAAATCGAAAACATCGTCACCTCGGATTGTTGGAAACGAATTGCGGCGCTAATCCACGGCTCTCATGAAGTGGGAAGATTGGTGTCAGGAATCTAGCATCGGGAAATGAACAACCGTAATCGAATTGGGGTTGGGCATTGAGTCTGCCGACCTCAGTTCCAATCTCGAGTTTCCGCCGTGCATGAGTCGGTACTGCATGAAGAGAACCAGTGGTGTAGTTCGAACCCTAACCCTAGCCCTAATTTTGGCAGCCGTTCAGGATCGATGCTTCTGTGCATTGTCTGCATGTGTTTGGTCGCTTGTTTATGTCGTTTCACTCTCTCCTCCTGTTTGGCGTTGACCTAGTACAATCCAGTGCACTTCAATGATGCTGAGGTTTTTCATAATTGATGTATCTCTGCGTTGACCTCATCTGGTTTGAAGTCAGATGCATAATGTTTTTATTTAAGTACTGGTTTTGTTTATATATGATTATAATTCCCAGGTTAGCTTATCATAATAGGGCAAAGTTTGTGTTGCTGCAATCACAAAGCCCTACCCCTATCCTTTTCATGCTAACTCTTGATAATTGTTCTGATAAACAGTTCAGAGCACATTTTCGTAGTTACTAGGTACTTGAGGGCATTAAGTGGATTATCCACTATGTGCTCTGTCCATCACCTCGAAAGATCTGATGAGAAGTCTCCACCTCTCGGGATTTACACCAGCGTCGTCTTATCGTAGAGGGTGACCTATGGGTGGGCCACGAGAAATGTATTCAGCATGCATCCCCACCTTTGAACAGCTCCTTCGTCCCATTCACAGACCCACCGGAGAGACACCGGCGAATTGGGTCCAGGCCGATCTCGCTCACGGAACCGAAGAACTGGAATCTCCGGTCACCAGCATGGTTGCGTTAGATAGACGCGCATGGGCTAGTTGTGTAAATGCCTACGTTTGCATGACTGGAGGTCCCCTGTCCTCACCTATAATTGCATATCGTGCTGACGAACCCTTCCATTCCAGGAAAACTCAACGACACGGATCTCGTCCAACGTTCGTTGAACTTTTCCGTAAATCACCAAGATACACATTAATGAGGTTGGTAATTACACATCAGTGAAAGCATTGGGGAGGGCCGTGTATATTAGGGTATTAGCGTGGTTTCACCAATGAAGCTCACCACAGCATCGTCACTTTACTAAATTTAGCAGGACTTTGGGAGCTAAAAACTTCTCAATCAGTCAGAGAGAGAGGTGTGCGGCGTGGTAGGCGTTGCTTTTCGTCAGGGATCATTACCGATTTCAGCCAGCGAGCGGTTGTCGTTCAGCGTCAGGACCGAGGGGAGGGGGGGTGTGTGTTGCAACCCCAACGGTCGGAGAGAGAGTGTTACATGGGCTAGGGTTTCAACACCAACGGACAGCTTGGACGGGCTCAATCGGTCGCTTTCATTGCCCCTTGGGCTTTCCGTTGCTTCATGGTAGGTATGGTCTTTCCCTGGTGGTGCCGATACTTTATGTTGTGCTACAGTCGCGGCATGCGATAACTTGTAAATTTTGACCAGCATTTCCATCGAAACATTCCGTTTTTTTTTCATTCTTCATCTGGAATTGTGCCATTCGGAAGGTATCATCGGCAGGCGACAAGACGACAACATTCGTTCAGTTGCGTGCTGGATCTGTCTGGCATGCATTTTTGGAAACAAGGGGAGAAAGAGTTCGTGATACTCGGTTTAGTCTAATCGATGGTGATGATTTGTAGGTTGGAGTGGAGGTTAATTCTTTTTCCCCTCTGAGCCAGCTCTCGGCTGCGTCTCAGCTCGCTCATAGGAATTGTCGGTTTGGTGAGTAGGGAGGGATTGTGGATACAGAGCTTCGTAGAATTGTTGGAGGGTCAGTTGGTTGACGGCTTTCCACCGAGCGTGGAAAGTACGCAGAGTCCTGTCCACGCTTTCATTACTTTGTTTTCGAGATCTAGCCTGAGCTGTTTTAGTTGTATGGATGTTGCCACATGCCAAGTGCCTCAAACATATGCTTGGTTGTCTCGGTAGTAGTTGGTTGACGGCTTTTCACAGAGCGTGGAAAGCAGGCAGAGTCCTGTCCACGCTTTCATTACCTTGTTTCGGAAGTTGAGATCTAGCCTGAGCTGTTTTAGTTGTATGGATGTTGCCGCAGACCAAGTGCCTCAAACATATGCTTAGTTGTCTCGGTAGTGTCACTCTACTCCTGCTTGCGCTCGCGTATTTGTTTGACAATTGTGCGTAGATTCAGAGTGTGTAGTGAGGGGTAGCAATCCGCAATTTTTTTTCAAGGGTTCTGAATTTATTTGGAGAGGTGTGTCTCGTGGAGTTAGTAGTCATACGTTGTGCAATTAACTATTTAAGTTTGAACCTAATAGAATTGCACTTCCGCACAGTAGAATCACATAGTAATTCAGCAGCGTCTGAGTGGCGGTTGTTGGCTGAATGCCACTGCCAAAGTCGAGTATGGCCTCCACGTCCAAGCGACGGGTGTCTAAAGTGAAAGCTGCTCCTCCACCTGAGGAAACCATTGAAGAATACCGGCCCCTGGTGTGCCCTCTTGTCTAACCCTAATGCATGAGTTTTGCGGCAGTTTACACAAGTAATTCTTTCTAGTGTTGCTTCAATTTCGTGGAGCGAGAGCATATTTTCCCACGAGCCTGCTTCTCTTACTGGATAGCATTGCCTCTCTTCACAGAAATGCCCGAGAGGCTGGCTAGAATGTGTATTCCAGTGTACAGCAGTTGTGTTTGCATCTGTATTTGTCCGTAGTGTGTAAGCCAGCAGCTTCGTAGCTGAATTTTGCCGAAACTGCAGGGTACTTTGTGGAAGGAAGCTTTTCCAGTGGGCACGGAATGGGACCAATATGACAAAGTATATGAAATAGATTGGGATTTCACAAACCTTGAGGTGAGTTTGTATTTTGCTATGTGTTACGAACGTATCACCTAGATGTATTCGATAATGATGAGATGAACTTTTACAATTCCATCTCTCCCTCTTTCGCTGCTATCTGAAGCTTTCTAGTACTTGGAGGCTGTTTGTTATCTGGAGCCGTGTTTCAAATAAACCTTGGAACCATGTTCAACTATTCTTGTGTTGTGGTTCAGAATGAGTTTGAAGAGGGAGGCAAATTACATGGAAAGCGTGTCTATCTATTTGGATGTACAGAACGTAAGTTTCTCACTTCATTTGCGAACATTGTGTTTTCAGGTCTATCTGTTTGATTTTTATATATTGTCAAGTGATGTAGATTTTGGGCTGTTGAGTTGTTCTTGGTTGAGGTTTTAATGTTTCTGTTAGATTACTGTCGTGTACATTCGTGCGCCTCCATGCTCAAAAATTAGAATTATTGCTGGCTTAATTTTCTGCTTACTGTTTATTAGACTGGAAAATGAAGTATTTCTTGAAAACTAATTTTATTTGTCTTCTGTTTTCCCAGCACAACTGGTGCATTTCCCTGAGAATTCGAGAGTTATCCATATACCTGCGGTTGTCGCGGTATTCCTTCAAACACATCCTCTCGTAACTTGTATTGTTATATTCTTAGAATTCCAGAGACATAGTTTTTCGAACATATGCTTTCTTTCTATTAACAGTTTGTGGTTCCTCATTTATCTTGATTATGTCATGTGTTTTTACCTACTTACGAGTATGGTGTTCATTTCCGCAGGTAACATCTCCATTTCCTCCTTCCGATAAGATAGGTATCAAGTCCGTGCAAAGAGAAGAGGAGCTAATTGTTCCCATGAAGGAGATGAAAATGGACTGGATTCCATTTATCCCCCCTGATGTGATGGAGTGAGAACTTAACTTTGCGCTCATTTCCCCCCTAGAATAAGTGTATTAACGAGTACGACTTTGTAATGTACAAACGAGTAATGCTTCTCTGATTTGGCTAGTTCACTAACAATGCAATGCATGTTGCAGTATTCGTGCGGTAGAACGGGTTAAGACGAAAATTTTCACTTTGAAATGCACTCAGAGAAGGTACGCTCCTCACACATTCTATCGTTTGCAGCTTTACCTACGAATTGGGGCATTTCCAGAGCACTGTTTGTGGAGGATGTTGGTTTGATTTCGTACGTGAAATTGCAGGGCTGCCTTGAAGCAGCTAAAGCAGGAGCGGATAAAGAAGTACGAATACTGCCTTCCCTGTAAGTTATCCCTCTTTCTTCGCATCCATGTTTCTGTTACCTGAATTCGTGTTACCTGAACCTGATTTTGTAGAATTCTGGCTTTACATGTGACCAATCTTGGCAAATGGAGTGGGGTCATGGGTTGAAACTAATTCAAGTGGTCAATGTGTGCAGACATTTACTCTCCTTTGAAGGAGGATGAGACAGTGGATGAAACAGTGGTGAATATCATGTACCCCTTCGAGGACGAAAGCAAACCTCCGGTACCTAATCATTACCTTCATGCTTGTTTGTGACCTGTCCTTGAGCCTTGGACGAACAGCCTCAACCATGCCTTATTACCTGATCACAGCGCCATCAGGCAGATCGTTAACTCAGCTGTTAGACAAATATCTACGAGTTGTCTGGTATTCCTTGTAGTGTGATCCAAAATGTGTTCAGTTGTCACATGGTGAAAACGAATCTTTTCAGTTATCTCCGTTACTGTTGTTAACTTCTGGATGGTGCACACGCCAGGTTGTGTGCGAGTATGATTGGCAGTTCGATGAGTTCGATGTAAGACTCACATTCTCATCTTTTCTCTTACCCCTGAGAAGTAACTTGCTGTTATCTATGATACATTCCGTTTCGCCAAAGACCTTGCACCATATCGATTTGCCTTTTCAAGTACAGATTTTGCTCATTACGCTAAGCCTCTCCATCGTATTGATGATCTTGGTTCACTGAGTGTACATTCTTCACAATGCAGGAGTTTGTTGACAATCTGATCACAGAAGAGGAGCTTCCTGCTGAAGAAAGGGAGAAGTTCATGGTAATTTCTTAACTTGCCATATCCTCACAGAACCCCTGAGGTCTTATGGCATTGGCCATTGCGCTGTCTACCTTATTTCCTTCGGAATTAAAATGATCTGGTTTTTTTCGTTTTTTCGATGAGCAGGTTTTTCTCAAAGATCTCGTTGGCAAGGAAAAGAAAAAAGTTCGGGAGGCCAAATTAGCACGTAAGAAGGCACTTGAAGATATGAGCAAAGACTTGATTGAAGGATTTCAGAACATGAAATTTTACAAGTTTTATCCTGCAAAGAGCGACAAGTATCCCGACATTTCTGAGATGAAGGTGTGTTGAGTAATTATACCTTCAGTGGTTTTTCGTTCTTTGGGTTAGAAGTCCTGGTACAAAGTAATTTCAGTGCATGCGAATTCATACCTGTTCTTGCTATTTGCATTTTTTGGTCCTGATATTGAGCTGAAATCCATGATGGCCGTGTCGCAGTGTCCTATTTTTGCTATATGTGTTGTTAAAGCCGGGGTTACTTCTCAGTCAGTACCGTTTATTCATTCTTTCTTCTGGGTTCTGTTGTGAGTAATATGCATGTGGTTATTCTAACTCTGGGATTATTCGTCTTGCAGAGTGCATTTATCAATAGGTATTATGGGAAGGCTACGGAGGTCCTGTAGATTCCCCTGAACATTACTTCGGTTCTGCAGTCGGCCACTGAATGTCATCCGTCTGTTGTGGAGACCTCTTATTAGTTTGGTTTCTACACCCAGATACCTCCAATCCCTTTAGTTTTGTAGCTTTTGCTTCTGGATCTTTCATACTCATTTCTTCTGTTCCTTCCACTTATACTGCATAGATTTTTTTTCTATGAATAGTTATGTTATGGGCCTGTACGTGCCCTTGTATATGGAATCCATTAGCCACTGATGATTGCCTGGTAATTCCAGTTTTACTCCACCTTGGAGTAGTGCACTTGAGTTTCTTAAACCACAAATGTACTTGCGGGATCTAAAGTAGCTGCGGCCAATTTTCTTCAATAAAGAAAATGAGACGTCAAAACGTACCCATCTTGTATTCCCATAGTCAGATTGGAATCAATTAATTTATCTACTACTTATCAATGTGTTTTGACGGACCAGGGTACTGTTGGAGGTTACTATGAAATATTCTTGGCAACCCGTCTTTTTTGCTGACAAATTAAGCTAGAAGTATGTGCGTATGTTCACAGCCATGGAGTGCCTTTAGGTGAATTTGTTCAAAATGACGTAATTTGCATTCTGTGTATTAATTACGCAATATGCAAAGAGTTCATCCTGGTTTTTGTTTTGAAATAATAGTCTTGATTATGGTTGAATTTTTTGAGAAACTTACATGTAAATGTGATTGTAAGAAATCTGCATACACGACGTAGTAGTTGGCAAACAATCTGTAGTGTTTTTGGAAAATCTTATGCAATCCTCAATTTATGTATTTTATTTGAACATTATGTAATTATCAAACACCTTTTATAAAACAAGTTCTTAATATTACCTAACATTTATTATTGTATTTATATTGTATCAATGTTCCATATTTCTTAATTGCTTCTCTCCAGCTCCCTTGGCTTTCCTCTGCTTGGCTGATTTTTTCATAGTCACGTGTCATACCTAGTTTATTAACAGAAGTTTTTATTGCCACTTGGTATAATTAGAATTATTTATAGATTCAATTTGCTTTTAGGAATAGTTCTTGATGTTTTTTGAAAAGATATTCTACTTAATTTTAATCACTCAAATAGCATAGATGTGTGATTCATTCATTCGCAATATTTAATTTAATTTATGAAAACAGTGAATAGCATAGATGAATTAATTTATTAAAATTAAATAGCATAGATATATGATTCATTCATTTACTATATATATATATATAGAGAGAGAGAGAGAGAGAGAGAGAGAGAGGATGCTAATGTCACCACAATTCTTATTATTACCACAATCTCCTGCTTGTCATATTTCTTTACTGTTTTTTTACTTCAATCAAGTTTTTTATTGATATTTCAAGTTTTTTTTTTTTTTTTTTTTTTTTAGAAAGTAAATTCAATTTTAACAAAAAAATAATTGAAATAAAACTTAGTGCATTGTTTTCATATTATAGCATCTATAAACAAATGGCAAGCAAAATCTACCAATTAGGATATTGCATAAGATAGTTATTTTTATATTTATTTTAATTTTTTTACCCTATGAATGAAAAGAAAAATTCATCAATCATGTTATAAATTTACTAAATAAAATTAAAAGTTTTAATTAAAAAAAAGTTAACTAGTATATGTGTTATAATTGATAATGTCTAAAGAATGCATGGTCTCAACTTCAAGGATGTAGTAAACTTTCTCCTTTTGTAGAATCTAAATTGTTAGAATAACTAACTTGTAATGAATTAATTAGTCCTGTTTTTTTATTTTTTATTTTTTATCTAGCAATAGAATATGTAAAGTTGAATAATATATGCTATTTATAATGACCAAAATATATATTTTAAGGTTCTTGTTTTAATGAAATAAATAATATAAACATTATAAGATTTAACATTTCATATCTAATTGAATCATCATTTTTGTAGACATAGAATATTTCAATCAAAAACTTGTCATTGTTGATGTTAACAAATTAAAGATGTACTTGGTACTTTAAGAATATTTATTATCTATTGTTATTTAAAAATAAATAAATAAAAAATTAATATTAAATTGATATCAAATATATTTTTTCTAATAATATTCATCATTACTACATATCTAAGATTAGATTTCATTTTAAAGATATTATATGTAATCTATAAGTTCTATTGCAACTTTCTAATTAATCTTGGTTATTATATAGTCAAGATTGCAATAGAAAGTTTTAGCATTAATATAATAAGATTAAAAGACATATCCTATGTGCTAATATATTAGCAATAGAATACAAATATCAATGCCTTAGCAATATATAACTCATCAATTCTACGTTATTATGTTGTAACACAAGTATTGAGTAAAAGAAAGAAGAAATTAATATATTATAGAAGAACTTATTTTAAATATAGTAGCAAACTATTTTAGAAATATAAATAATAGTTATAGGGATAGTAAAACTAATAAGTGCTAATACTACCTTTTTGTAAAAAAGGCTCATATTTATTTTGTAGGGCCATATGCAAGACAAAACAAATTAGATTAGCACAATAGTATTATAGGTAACTTTAGGTAGAAGTAAAGAAAAGAAATAAATAATAAAAAAAAAAATACTTAGATAAATCTTAAATTGGTGCCTAAAGAAGGTTGGTTATTAACGAAGGTTAAAACCAGATCTCAATGCACAAAACCACACATTTACCATAGATAGAGCTCTCTTTTGTTAAATGAAGTGTGGATTTTTATAGCAGACTTGATTGAGTTTCTATAAATGTTGAATTTGAATGATTTGAGTTTATATTGACTTTGTGAGAGCTTTGCAAAGTTGAAGTTGTTTTGAGTGACTCTATGATGTGTTAATTAAAAAAAAGATCATATTTTGATAAATTAAACGAATTTTATAATAGACTCACAAATGTTTTATTGCAAGTTTATGAATGATATTGTACTAAATTTGGAATATAATTTTGAACTCAATTAGATGGTCAAATCAAAAGAAATTGAAGTTTAAGTGAGTTAATTTTTTAGAAATTGGGTTTTAAAGGTCAATGAAGGTTCTTAGATTTTGAGTAATCTTAAGGTTTGATTAGAATTTTGTTTGGTGTACTAATGATTGGCCATTTTTTTTTAATATTTGTGCAAATTTTGAGAAGAAATTGATAGTTAAAGAAGGAGATATTTTACTAAAAGATTTGGATAGAGATTGGAAAAAGAACACAATTGACACTAAAGCATATTATGAGCCATTTATTCCAATCTATAAGTTAGATTTTCTTGAAACTTTGTGTGCTTGTTGTTAACCAATAATTTGAGATGTAAAAATAATTTGAATTAAGATCAATAGTTAGTGTAAAAATAACTACTGTAATGTTTATTTAATCTTTGACTATGTTTTCTTCTAAATTTTTGATGAATTTCTTGAGTGTTTTTTTTTTTTTTTTTTTTTTTTTTTTTTTCTTTTCTTTTCTTTAGGGTTCTTTTTAAAGATTTATTTAAATCTCTTTTAAATTTCTTTAATATTTATTTTAATATTTTTTAGAGTTTCTTTTTGGTTTCTTGTCATTTCTTTAAGATCTAATTGGGATTATTTATTAGTATTGTTTAAGGTTTGTTTAAGATTGCCAATGTGTTTTTGAGCACGTTATGCTTATTGTTTTGGAACTATAATCCAACTCCAAGTTAAGATCACATTTTTCTACAACTAGATGCCTTGTGCATTTTCAAGCTAAATTTCTCTTAATCTGACAATATGGTTTAGAATTAATTAAAATTTTGACATGAAAAATAATAAATATTGTTTTTTAAAAATTCTTATAATTGTAATATAATAAGTTATTAACATTAGATAATCTTTTAAAAAAAAGACCTATAAATGATAAATTTAAAGAGTCGAATTTTTGATTAATTCTATGTATACATATTTACTTGAAGATGGAAGTTTAGATGAATAATTTGATTACTAAAAAATAATTTTACTCTAACAGGTTATAATACTTAGTCCAAATATTGTAGGTTTCTTTTTGTATTTAATTTTATAATAAATTATTTTTATATCCTTTCTTAAATTAGTATTCATTAAAATTAATAAGATATTTTAAAAAATAATCTAAAAATAATTAAAAGTAGTGAAGATAATATATGCATCACTATTTCTAAAAATAGAGATATTGAGTTACAAGATAGTCAAGAAGTGAATTAGTTACAATTCAATTTTACGAATCTTTAGAATAATTTTACAAATATAATTTGTAAAAAAAAAAAAAAAAAAAAAAAAAAAAAAAAAAAAAAAACTAAGATTTAGAAAGAAGGATAATAAAAATACATATAATATTAAAAACTTTATATAATATATATTTAATTTTTATTGATTACAATGTAATAGTAAATAAGGACACTTTTAAAAAATAACTTTAAAATAGCTCAAATCTTAATAATCAACCATGATGTCTAAACTAATCTAATATTGGTTAGAACTTTTGTAGATCAAGTTAGAAGATACATGTTAAAAGAAATATAAAAAAATAATAAAGACTAAGATATAGATTATCAAATCAATTAGTTAATAAAGTCTTTAAAATAGCAAATAATAGTACTAGATTTTTTTTTTTTTTTTCTAAAATTAATCCTCTTATATAAAATTTTACAACAAACAATATTATTATAAAGTGCATATGCTTCTAATTCAAATCCTTTATCAATAGACACATAAGATATAATGTAAATTACATATATTAGAGTTATTGCAGCAATTTCTACTTAATTATTTATTTTTTTCAAAAAAAATATTATATGTATTCTAATTCTATTATTATCATAATAAATTGGTAGAAAAATATAAAAATATAAATAATATATTATTATTTATATACAATATAAATCAAAGTCATTAGACATGACATTAAAAGATATAAAAAAATATCTAAGAGATCTTGCTATCCACATACTAAATATTTTTGAGTTATCTTGAAAGTATATTAGAGGAAAAAAATTATTGAGTTAGAAGCATCATATCTTGCAAATTTAGGTTAAAGATTGACATTATTATAGCATATAAGACTAGAATATATTACTTCAAGAGCTTAATTTGTAAATTGTTAATGTTGTAGTAAATTAGGATTGAATTCTTCATAGGCTTATTAAAAAATAAAGAATGAAGTAATAAACCAGTTACAAGAAGCTTAAGATAAAAGAAAATTAATAAAGGAGAAATGAAGATTAACAAAGAAAAGTAACAAAGCTTTAATTTAATTGAAATAGATAAGTAATTACAAGCTTTCTCTTTTTAACACTAAACAATAAAAAACATTTATATTTACATATTATTTAATTCAATAATATAAAAAAATACAATTTTTCATGAAAAGATGTATCTTTTGATGTATTTATTATAATATTTGGACGTGCAAGATTTGAAAAA